GGGGCCTCAGCAGGGCAGAGCAGAGGGGGAGGAGAACCTCCCTCGCCCTGCTGCCCACGCTCCTCTTAATGCACGCCAGGAGACCATTGGCCTTCTTCGCAACCAGGGCACACTGCTGGCTCATGGTCAACCTGTCATCCACCAGGAGAGATGGCGGATTCACTTCTTCACCCACACCTCTTCATCCTCCTACAATATTTTGGCCTCATACAACCTCTTGACCTCTCATACCTCTTCACCCTCACCCTCTGGGCCTCTACAGTCCTTGGTCCTCCTACGAGTTTGGGGACTCTACACTCCTCAGGCCTTTATATTCTCAGTGGTCCTCCCACACCCTTTCAGCCTCCATACCTCTTTGGCAGCTCCACATCAACAGCATCCAACACGTTTTCTCAGCCTCTACACCTCGTCAGCCTCACACACCATTTTAGACTCCCACACCTCATTGCCCTCCCACAACTTTGTCTGCCACTACAACTCAAGGTTTCACACCTTGTTGGCCTCCTACACCTTTCTCTGCCTCTACACCTTATCAGACTTCAAACACCTTTTTGGCTTCTACACCTTTTCAGCTGTCCACACGCTTCCAGCTGCCCATGCTTTTCTCAGCCTCCACACCTTCTTTGAGCCTCTCACACCTTTTAAGCCTCCCACACCTCTGTGGAATCCCACATCTTTTTTGGCCTCTACACCTCATTTTAGCCTACCACACCTTTTTCAGCCTCGATAACTCATTTCAGCCTCTACACCTTTTTGGCCTTCCACAACTTTTTCAACCTCTACACCTCATTTGAGCCTCCCACGTGTTTTAAGCCTCCCACACCCTTTTGCCCTCCAACACCTTTTCAGCCTCCAATAACCTTTCAGCCTCTACACCTAATTTCAGCCTCCCACACCTCATTTCAGCCTCAACAACTGCTTGGCCTCCCACACCATTTCAGCCTCTAAACCTTGTTTCAGCCTCCCACACCTTTTGAGCCTCTCACGTATTTTTTCAGCCTCTACAAATCAGTTGAACCTCCCACACTCTGTCGGCCTCCCACACCCTTTCAGCCTCTAAACCTCATTTCATCCTCAAAAAATGTTTGAGCCCCCCACATTTTTCAGCCTCTACACCTCCTTTGAGCCTCCCACACACTTTCAGCCTCCCACACCTCTATGGCCTCCCACATCTTTTTCAGCCTCTACACCTCATTTTGGCCTCCCACACCCTTTTACGGCCTCCCTAACCTCATTTTGGCCTCCCACAACTTTTTAGACATCTGAATATAATTTCAGCCTCCCACACCTTTTCGGACTGCCGCACCTTTTTGAGCCTCCAAAACTGATGTCAGCCTCTACAACTTCTTGGCCTCCCACAAATTTTTCAGCCTTCAACACCTTTATCGGCCTCCCACACCTTCTGAACCTCTCACGTCTTTTTCAGCCTCTACAACTCTTTAGAGCCTCAAACGTCTTTTGAGCCTCCCACACCTTTTTCAGCCTCTACACATTTTCGGCCTTCAACACCTTTTTCAGCCTCCCACATCTTTTTCAGCCTCTACAACTCTTTATAGCCTCAAAAGGTGTTTGAGGCTTACACCATATTAAGCCTCCACAACGTTTTCGCCTTCAACACCTTTATCGGCTTCCGACACCTTTGGAGCCTCTCACATCTTGTTCAGCCTCTACACCCTTTCGGCCTCCCACAACTTTTTCGGCCTCCAAAATGCACTTCAGCCTCTACACCCTTTCGGCCTCCCACAGGCTTTTGGCCTCCCAAACTCATTTCAGCCTCTACACCTCCCCGGCCTCCCACACCCTATCAGCCTCTAAAATTCACTTCAGACTCTACACATTCTTAGCCTCCTAAACCTTCTCGGCCTCCCATACCTTTTTCAGACACAAAAACTCACTTCAGCCTCTATAACGGTTTGGCCTCCCACATATTTGTCAACCTCTACACCTTTTCCGCCTCCCACACCTTCCCAGCCTCCCACACCTTTCTCGGCCTCCAAAACGCACTTCAGCCTCAACACCTTCCCGGCCTCCAACACCTTCCCCGGCCTCCCACACCCTTTTTGGCCTCCAATATTCACTTCAGCCTCTACACCTTCCTGGCCTCCCACATCCTTTCAGCCTCCCACACCTTTTTCGGCCTCCAAAATGCACTTCAGCCTCTACACCTTCCTGGCCTCCCACACCCTTTCGGCCTCCCACACCTTTTTCGGCCTCCAATATTCACTTCAGCCTCTACACCTTTCCAGCCTCCCACACCCTTTCGGCCTCCCACACCTTTTTTCGGCCTCCAATATTCACTTCAGCCTCTACACCTTCCCGGCCTCCCACACCTTCCCCGCCTCCCACACCTTTTTCGGCCTCCAATATTCACTTCAGCCTCTACACCTTCCCGGCCTCCCACACCCTTTTGGCCTCCCACACCTTTTTTCGGCCTCCAATATTCACTTCAGCCTCTACACCT